TCAAGGGAGGAGGTGGTCCGTGCAAAGCTGCTGGCGGAACTGTCTACGTTGCGTGAGAGGCACAGTGCACTTCAGGGACGAGGACGGACGCTCTGAGGGACATCGTTGCTTGCATGAGGAGTCACCGCCAGGAAGTATCGAGAAGGCTGACACCCCACTTGGACAGGCTGATCGTGATGCTATTGAGGCGTTCTTCAACGACGCCGAAGACGACTTTACGAGAGATTTCAATGAGGGGCGTGGAAAACTTGAACGAAGTGAGCTACTGGATAAGTTGACCATGGCTCCAAAGGAAGGGTAGGAGTGCATTTGGTTGCGGATTGGTGCGGTTGTGGTCGCAGCTACTTCTTTTTTTTTTTGGTACAATGCTACTGCCATAATTCCATTCGAGTGGCAGTGGGGTGCCACAACGTGTTCCACGTTATGTTCTCTCACTCTCTCTCTCTCTGTGTGTGTAGGCCTGCATGTTTGCGTGTTTGGTTTTTCTTTTTTCCTCTTCCCACTACCCTCGTGAGCCATGTGGCGCTCCCCTAATGTGATGGCGTTGCTTTCGCTTCCGTGGACCTGCACAGTGTGTGGCAGGATGGAAAGCTTTACTGTTGCTACGCCGCCGTTCTTGTTGCTTCTCTTGAGTACGTTGTATTTTATTTTATTTTTGTCTTGTTTCAAACTCATCCTCTTCTCTCTCTCTCTCTCTCCTTTACTCTTTCTATTTCTTTTTGTGTGTGATGCTGTTGAAGGTGTCTAAAAATGGTTGCAGCAGGGGGGAAGTCGAAGATCCGCCGCGTTGGCAAGAAGAGGGGTGCCACCCTCAAGGATGTCCACGCTTGGCGTTGGATCAAGACGTGCGCCAAGTACTTGAAGCAAGAGGGCAAAATCATGGTGCCAAACTGCACAGAGATAGTCAAGACTTCGCACGGCCGCGAGCGCGCACCGCAGAACCCGGATTGGTACTATGTCCGCTGCGCCGCTGTGCTGCGGGCACTGTACCTGCGCCCCGGTGAGGGATATGGTGGCCTTAGCAAACGCTTTTCCATTAAGAAGAATCGTGGGAGCCGTCCGGAGATCACCACTCGTGCATCAAGGGGTCTTCTGCACTGGTCTTGCAAGAGCCTCACCAAACTGGGCCTCGTTGAGAAGTGCACGGAGTCTGGACACAGGCTAACGAGGAGGGGACGCAAGGTTTCTGATACTCTTGCATTCCAGGTCCACGTCCGCCGGTTTAACACCGAAAAGCAGAAAGTGGAGTGAACTGGATTGTGCTGCATCCACCGTTGAAGACATCTTAATCATTACTTTTCTTCTTGTTTTGCTCTCTTCTTTTGGAGAGATAATATATTTAAAAAAAAAAACAAGAACGAGGACGTGTGTTTTTGCGCCGCGTGTGCGTTTTGACCGTGTTTTGTTGAGTGCCTTAAGCCTGTTTTTAAAATCTCGCATACCTTTTGGCACTGTTTTTGGAGTACTGTCTGGAACCTCGCTTTGCTTGCTTTTTCTTGTTGGTCCTTTTGCTTTGATTCGACAGCAAAAGGGTCATTAGGTTAACCTTTGCCACAGAGAAATAAGGAAGGCCGTGTGTGGTTGAATCCGAAGCGGCATCAGCTACTTCCCCGAAAAACAACATTGGCGTACGTGAGGACCACGGCAGCTTCGTGATTAAATGTTGTGAACCACAGCGTTTCCACTGGTGGTGATGCTCATGGGGTGGACTTTGTGTACGAAGCTGCCTTTGTGCTCCCATCATTGTTCCAGAGGATGTTGAGTATTTGAGGTTCGTAATTATTATTATTATTATTTTGGCTCTTTCCGGTGATTACCCACGTGAGCAAGCAGCCGCTGCACGAGAGACAAAGTCTTTTTTTTTTTTTTGTAGTCGGGCCACCACAGAACCGGGATTGTTCTGCAAGCAGTATCTCTCTCTCTATATATATATAAATATATATGCGGGTGCGTGTTTTGGTTCCCGCTGCTCCCCTCGCAACTAAAGCGGATGCTTCAGGAGCGAGTCAGTGCTTGGAGCTGTGCGCTTAGGAAGGCTGCGTATCCCCCATTTTTTAAAATATTCACAGTTGGTGGTTAGCTGTCGCATGCTGTCCGTTGGACATACAAAAGTCAAATGATGTATAGCAGGGCTTCACTGCTTTGGTTGGTAATTGTAGCGAAGTTGGTAGAGTATAATTTCGTTTTTACTATTTCTTTCACTGTGCGTATGTGTGAAGTGAAGAGAGCGTGGAGAGAGTGTGGTCTTGGCTGCTTATGCCGTGCAACGAGGGAGGGGGGCAATGCAGTCTTACAAGCGGTGTTGCTCAGGCCTCCTTGCACCCATTTGATGTTTTTATGCGTGGCCTCTATGTTTTGGTTCTTGTCCCACCTTTGTTTTGCTGCCTTGCGAAGAACTCGATCCACACATGGCGTCACATGGCTTAGTAAAGGACATCGAGAGGGTGGACTACAGTACGAAATGCTGCTGCCGAACCACTGACAACGCGTATTATCAGGCGCCCAAGCAGTACTTCATCCGCCACCCGACTCTCTCACGGCGAAAACTCACCTTGGCGGAACCCTTTAATGTCCCTTTCGATTCCTCCACCTTTGAAAAGGTTCTGCTAGAGCTGGAGAGGGCTTCTATTCTTTCCGCCGCGGCTGCCGTCACCACGGACACCGAAAATGCCGGGGGCGAGAATGCGCAGAAGCCGCAGTGGATGAGAGACCTCGACAAGCGCCAGCAGAGTTTTTTAGCTGCCTGTTTGGGAATAACAACCTGGGATGGACGCGATGTGTGTTTCTACGAAGAAAAACTGCCAAAGGAAAACGATGTGGTGTGGGTTAAAGTGATTCAGGTCAATGATACTTCTGCCGTGGTTCACCTTCTTGAGTACGGTAACCATGAAGGTATTATTCCCTACACGGAAATTACGCGTATTCGCATTCGGGCCATTGGTAAAGTTATCAAAGTAGGTAGGAATGAGGCCGCGCAAGTGATTCGAATTGATAAGGAGAAGGGATACATTGATCTTTCTAAAAAGCAGGTTACTCTTAAAGAGGCAAAGGAATGTGAGGCTCGTTTTTTGAAGGGCAATGAGGTGCGTTCTATTGTGTGCCACGTTGCCGATGAATGCGGCATCCCGGCGGCACAGGCTATGGAGATGATTGCCTACCCTCTTTACCGCCGTCAACCAGGAAAACATGCGTGGGACTGGTTACACGAGTTGAATCGCACTCGCGACGTGAAAGGCATTCTTGGGCCTCTGAATCTCCCGGAGAAGGCCCAGGAGTTACTTCTGGCGACGTTGGAGCACACTGTGCGAACCGATGTTGCCACCATTCAAGCTGATATTGAAATGACATGCTTTCAGTGTGACGGCGTGAACTCTCTTCGAGACGTGCTTTTGATTGGTCGTAACTTTAAAGCAGACCAAGAGCCCAAAATTCCTATTTCTGTTACTGTTGTGGGACCTCCCAGGTACCAGCTGCGCGCCAAGACCGAAGAGCGAGAGGAGGGCCTTCGTCGCATGAGAGAGGCGATGGAGACGATGTCAATTGAAATTGCGAAGCGTGGCGGGATACTGCGGGTGGTTCAAGGCCCCTACGCTTTGGGTGAGGAAGAGCAGACGAAGGATGAGCCGAACGACGATCAGGATTACGACGATGACGAGACAGATTGATTGGTGTTTTGATGAGGCGAGCCCCCGGCCCGATGGGGCGTTTTTTTTTTGTTGTGTGTGTGTTTGTTTGTTTGTTTGTTTGCTTCTTCTTTTCTGTTATATTTTTATTAACCGCTGAAGGAAGAAGAAAAAACAAGGGGGAGTTAACGAAGAGAGAGAAAGAGAGAGAGAGAGGGAAAGGGAGGGTGGATGAAGAGAGATGAGTGAGGGTTCCGTCGTCGTATTGTTAATTAAAAGTCATAATGCTATTTTAATTGCAAAGGTGAGTTGCTGGGTCACGGTGGTGACAGTACATTGAGGTGCCTCATCGTGACATCTGAAGCGATGCAGCAAACTTCATTTGCTGCAGATGCGCAATGTCTTTTGTTTCGTCTTTATCCATTTTTTTTTTTTTTGCTTCCCTTCTGGTGTGTGCATCGATGTTTCTCTGGTGGGAAGGAAGATGGAAGGAGAGCGATAATTTTAAAAAGGGAGACACGTTGCATTGTGGTGATAACACGTTACACTCTCTTCGTACGTTCCCACCTGTGCGTGTGGCACGGCGTGAATGGGGCCTGGGAAAAGATGTGATGCATCTGCAAACGGAGGTTTGTTGGAGTTGGACGCGGCGGAAACACCCGTGATGGACAATAAGAACGACTTCATTGCATCGTCTCCCCAAGTAAAAAGCTCAGTGTTTTTTTTTTTCATGTAAGAAAGAGTCACATGATGGAAGTACGTCCACCGGGAAGTCTTTGTCTTCAAGCCAAGATGAAAGCCTTTGCAGCTTTACCACATTTAAAAGCGTTGAACACAGCACCACAGTTGTGGATCCAAAATCAGATGATAAACATACCCTGTATCCCATTTTAATGCTTTCTGCTGGCCGGTCATTTGAGGCATGGCTTTGCTACTCCTCATGGCTTAAAAATCAACTGGTGCGTTTTGGCTAATTTCATGGTAAACTACATACTGATACGGATTATACTAACACGTACGTCACACGTACTGGCTCCATAAGCACCGAAAATGGTATCTCTAAGTGTATTGGAACGAGTGTATATTGGGAGAGAGGGGCATTTCATGTGACTCCGAATGAGGTGGGATTTGAAGACACTTTGCTAAGGACAGCGTTTCTTGGCAGCGGAATTGTTGTCGCCGCTTTTCCATCTAACAATGTTGGGGCGGGTTTCAGGTGGATAGCGCCGTGCAAACCCCCAGTGTCTCGGAGAGAGGGGGGGGGGGGGTGTGTGCGTGGCGTGGCGTTCGTGTTGCGAGAGCGCGCGGGGCCAAAGCATCTTCCGCGGCGGGGGAAGGTGGGTCTCCAGACGGACGGGCGCGCCCTCCGTAGACACACTTAGGCCACGAAACGCCTCGCTGCTTTCGCAATGGCTCGCTTCCGGGCCGCGGGGGCGCGCAGGGACCGTGCATGAGGCAATCGCCTCGCCCCCACGGAGCAGCACGCTGAGCCGCGCGGCCTGCACTGGGTCATTTGCCAATTTGAAGCCCACGCCGGTTAAGGCCGCACCAAAGAGTTCTGCACCGGGCGTCGGCCCATGTTGCTCACTTTGCGAGTGTTGTTCTGATGCGCCCGCCGCAAGGACCGCGCAATCGCGACACCGAACAACACTCGCAAAGTGAGCAACATGGGCCGACGCCTGGGGTGGGCGTATAGGCTCCCCGCGCATACGGTACGGAAGGCAGGCGTACGGCAATTGCCTTGAGGGGGTCGGCGCCAGGGAGAGGAGGATCAGGTGCTTGCGCGGCGAGGTGTGGC